ACATACACATACATACACATACACACACACATACATACACATACATACATACATACATACACCCATACACCCATACATACATACATATACATATATATACATACATATATATACATATATATACATATATATACATATATATACATACATATACATATACATACATATATGCCCTCTTGAGGCATAGCATTGTGTAATACAATGTTCCCGACGGGTATTTGGACCTGTTCAACCATGAAGCCTTCGTGGTCTAGTGGTTATGACGCTCGCCTTGTCAGCGAGAGGTCGCAGGTTCGAATCCCGTCGGAGGCATGTTATTACACAATGATTTTTCATAGGACTTTATTCGTTAAAAAGCTACAGGGTAACCTACGATGTTCCATCATGTCCTTATTAAAACACTGTATATGTACCTTTGATGATTTATATTATATTTATTCAACAGTGTTAACGGCTAACTGCCTTCAATACATACATATACCACACATACATACATACATACACATACATACATATACATACATACATATACATACATACATATACATACATACATATACATACATACATATACATACATACATATACATACATACATATACATACATACATATACATATTATATATACATGTGTGTGTGTGTACTGTAACCCCAACTCTGTAAGGGACCCAGTCGTCACGGTCTCCATCTATTTTTTTTTTTTTTTAAAGAAGAAAAACTGGTAAACAATAAAACTATAATTCAAATTAAAGCCTAACGAAACAGTTAGCAGTTACGTTTATTATCTACCATTGAAGTAGTACTTACGTATTTTTAGGCCTATTATTATTATTATTATTATTATTATTATTATTATTATTATTATTATTATTATTATTATTATTATTATTATTATTATCATTATTATTATCATTATCATTATTATTATCATTATTACTTCAAAGTTATATTATCTATCATTGAAGTAGTACTTATGTATAGGCCTATTATTATTATTATTATTATTATTTATTATTATTATTATTTGTTTTTACAGTGCCAGCAGATGTAATGTGTTCTAGTTTTAGGTTTTAGCAAATATATTGGGTTGTTTACTGTTGGTTTTATTATGTAAATTAACTCAAAATAACAATAAAGCAATAGTATAATAATACCAGTAATATAATTTGTAAATCTACCAGCATCATTATTGTACATCCCTCGTGACATGTAGCATTTACATGCATATGTATTCTTTATATTCCTTTCCGTTTAACTGGTACAAACCAATAGTAATTATATGCATCTATACCAATGACGGTGCGAAAAGGTAATATATTCACTTTGGCAGTAGATAATTTGTTGTTGACGATTATACTTGTTTTTTCATTGATGATTAATTATCACAGCCTGATAACTTATTAACTAGCGCACATTTTAAAGTACAAAAGGGCAATAGATAAAACCTTCCAATTGATGGAAATGTGGATACGAACAGTGTAAAAAACGATAAAGCCCATGTAACAGCTAGCCCGTACGAAGTCGTGAACACGTAAACATAATCACAAGGCCTATACAAAGTTTACTTTAATATAATATTGTTCCGTCTGTGTCATACTGTTCTAGGAAAGTGCATTAAGTAATATATATTCCTTTCGTTTATCTTTTTCTTCTTTGTTGTTACCGACCATTATAATCTGCGTTTAATTATACATCATTTACGATTTATCACAGTCACTGCTATACTGTTATATCCCCGTTTGCTAGTTTGTAAAGCTTTTCAATCATACTAGTTATCGCTAAGGAAGAGTACAGGCGTGCTCGAAATATTCAAAATAAAAACTTGTGTGTGTTTATTATGTCAACTTATACGTTTTTACTTTTACATTCATACTCATTTATTATTATTATTATTATTATTATTATTATTATTATTATTATTATTATTATTATTATTATTATTTTATTTAGCCATCATTTGAAAAATGATATCTGGCCATCTCATAGGCGCAATGTCTATTCAATGTTGTGTCTTCTTACTATATTTACATATCATACTTTACCTATTTAACTATCTCTTTCAAACCATATTTAAATTACCTTATAAAAAATGTCATATTTCAAGCCTTGAAAAAATCCAACGTCGTTACACTAGAGCGTACTTTGGCGGGCCGTGGAACGAACGACCTTCTTATCCTGACAGACTTCGGATATATGCTATTCCATCACTCCACGAACGTTTCATGATTCTTCATTTATCTTTTATCAT